TCAACCATGTATCTCAATTGTGCCGGACAGCTGAGATGAATTTCGATTAAATGCCAGCAGTCTTTTCCCGAAACGCCTTTGTGGCCTTCAGAATTAATGTTGTGAGTGGTTTCAGCACAGTTTAAGCTTCTTTTCCTTTTTCCAGACCTCAATGAGCAGAAGCGGCTAGTTTTACTTGTTCTCAAGCGTAACACACAATTTCTGTTCTCACTACTGTCATATTTCATTCTATCTTATCCAGAACTGGTCAATCATTCGTGCGATACTTGCTTTAAATGTGAACAATGTGCTTACGAACCGAATTGTTAGCGCGCTCTCCGCTCATGTTTGGAAGTTGCTGAAATTCGTTCATCAGTTAATAATAGCTTGTCCATAAATGCACGAATGAACGTGTAAGCTTAATGTATGTTGTCATCGACAGTTATTCAGGCGTTTAAGCCGCGTCACTTTTCAGACACTTCCATTGTGTCATCTGGTTTACATGACATCTGAAATTAAATAGTAGGGTTCGCTCGCGAACTGAACTCTCAGCACGCTCTCTCGCTCATGTTTGAGAGTTTCTGAAAATCGTAATTACTTAACAATAATAAAAGCTGAGTTTTTCGTTTGTCTCACGATGTAGTCACGTGTGATGTAGATCGCGACGTTCCAACTGCATACTGCTAGTCGTCTTCAGGCGATGAGGCCGACTGGTCATGCGTGATCTTATAAAGTATGATGCTCTGCTGTTATTAGTTGTATTTCAACAGCTCTGATTGGTGCATTTCGATTCTTGTTGTAAATTCAGTGACTTGCTCCCTCGGCGGTCCGCTGTTGCACAGCTCTTCTGTTGTTGTGTTTTTTGATCGTGGGCATCCACGCCTCTGGAATTTCTATTCCACTATCCCTGTTGATGTTGTTAAGGTGAAGTCTTATATGAATTGCCTCTTTGACCATGCGCGTGCAGTAATAAGGGTCACGATTAATAAACTTTACTTCGTTCCAGAGTGGCTTGTATCCGGTGTTGTGGGCATGCTCTGAAACGGCGGAGGTCTCGATACCGGCGAGTCGAATGTCTCGATCGTGCTCCTTAATTCTGTCTTGCATAGGTCTTCCAGTCTCTCCAATGTATGCCTTGCCGCATTCACAGGGAATCCTGTTAACTACGCCATCTTGTTTAGCCGGGTCGACGGCGTCTTTTGATCGTACTAACTGAGCTCTTAGCGTAGTCTCCAACTTGAAAACAGCGCGTACGCCTTGTTGTTGTAGGCAACGGCGAAGCTGTTCGGACAGACCTTTGGCATAAGGTAAAACCGCAGTAGTTTTAAACTCGTTGGCGGGTTCGGTACTGCATCGCCAGAGAAAAGATTTGCAAATGTTTGCTGTTCTACATTCTTTGAAAAGGCATCGACATATTCATTGTTTCTTATTATCCGGTGCTAAACAATTTACTTTTGACACAGCCACAAAAATATCGATTAGTCCTTACGCGTGAAATGTTGATGCGGATTCTTTAATATTATTTACCACAAGGCGCAAGCAAAATTTTTGCCGTTCTGTTCGTGCTCTCAGCGGTCTAACACGCTGATTTACGTTCATTTCTCTTCGACAAATGAGCAAATGTTTCCTTCAAATCGGCGTTCAAAACCCAACAACGATAAACGCGTTCATTGAAGCTAAAAAATTATAATTATTTCAGTTATTGGGCGCTGCTACTAACCATGTGAGAAATCTGAGCTTTATCTGTAAAGAAATTATTTTCATTTAACCTGCGGGTGAAATCAGGTAAAGTAATGAATGGACCTCTTGCTTCATTAGACCTCTTACTTCAATTAAGCTATTATAATATTTGCTTGGTGTCCGGTCGTTTCGATACAAAGTCGTTTCGATACAAGCCGTTTCGATACAAATAGAAGTCAATTCGTTACACATGTAAAGTCGATTCGATGCAAACTGAAGGCGTTTGGATACAAGTAAAATCGAGAAAAGTTCAGTTGAAGTGTTTTAGTTTTCGTCTTTGATATTTTCGATCGATCGATCGACGTTGTAATACCCAGTTTTCCCGCGACTCGATCGAACGAGTTGTATTACTCAGTTTCCCCGCGGCCAAAAAGAGCAAACTTTATCGAATATTTATTTAAATTACTAAAGTACGTTTACATTGATCATGACTTTTGCACATGTGGTGGCTCCTAAAAGAGCCATTTTTAGCGACCTGAAATCGTCCAAAGTGAACGCACTGGAACTGGTCGCCGCGCTGTCTAACTGTGGCCCTACATGGGTTGACCTTGGGGCGGATGGAACACTGCCAGTCAGTGACTAAGCCTCACCTTCTCTGTAGGGTGTAGCTGTATCCCTGGCTGTCTATCATCTTCGGCCGGCCTCTTTTGGAACTGTTCTCCACGATCTCGTAGGTCACGGCGAAGGAAGACGACGTCTCAGCTGGAGTGGGGTCATGAAGGGAGGATTCTTCGTGATCATTACTGCACTGGTTCTCCACATCAGGCTGGGATTCTTCGGGGTTCTCAGTTCGCGTACTCTCCGCATCAGGGTGGGATTCTTCGGGGTCAATGACGGTAAGCTCTAGAGCTCCTGATTCCAGGTAGCTGGAAGAATCGGCGTAGGAGTCCGGATGCGAACACTGCACACTGCCAGTCAATTTCTTTTCCATGTCGAACAGTTGCCTGGTAAACTTCTTGCGATATACCTATTGAATCAAAGTAAAGATCTAAATTAGGATAACGTAAATACAGTAAATCGAAGTAAAGGTCTCTCAGTGTCAGAGTATATAAGTGGCAACCTCAAATACCGATAATACGTGTAATAGTGTTGAAAACTTACCAGTGTTGCAGATTCGATGATTCCAGCGAAAACATCCATCACATTGAATGGCTTGCTGTCTGGGCCGAACAGGTTCCTCGCATACCATGCAGTTCAAAATCTGCGCAGACACCATCGTGATAACTCGTTAAAACTCGTAAAAACTCAAAAACTTTTGTTAACAGTCGTGATCGTATGATCGAATGAACATTCCACAGGTCCCAGTGTGTTTTAGACACTGATATCAGTTAGTTTAAAACGTTTGGATTCTTCTACTCACTTTTAATGGGGTAAAATTAGCAAGTTTTTTAAAACAATTAGTTTACGCGTCTATTGATATGATAATTTACAAACTCACCTACCCACGCACCAGAATGACTGCTATTTCCTCACGGGTCCGTTGCTTCACCAACTTACACGACATTATTGATAATATTTGTGTTTCTTGATCTTAGGCGTAATATGTCCTGGAGTTATAGAAAAAGTCTCAAAATCATTTGTATAAATCTCTGTTCTCGATAAATAAACCAAACCAAAACTTAGTCTCGTTTACGTGTTCTCATTGCGTAGGACGCTTTGGTACATGTGGAGGTTCGCGGAGGTATGGGTTTGTTTCATTTACAACGGAGGTTTGTGTTCGCTCTAGTATGGTATTCTGTATCGAAACGATTTGAAGTGACGTGAGTTTGTATCGAATCGACTTTACATTTGTAACGAATTTACTTCGATTTGTATCGAAACGGCTTGTATCGAAACGACTTTGTATCGAAACGACCGTGAACCATTTTCTTTTATCAACAGGGTTGATAATGTAAATTTTAACCCATGAGCCATTCTAAAGAAGACGTTTCGAGCGTTAGTCCTTCAATTAGGAAAGGAATTACATTCACCCATAAAGCTGAACTTCACTAGGCGGCGTGTTGCTGTGAATCATATTGATGAAATAAGGGCTGGTGACCTGGTTGACATGCAACAGTTCAGCAAATGGAGTAAAGGTTATCGATATCTTCTTATGGTGTTTCAGATGTTAATGAGCTCTATTTCCGTCGAGATTCTTCACAGGTCATGTAGCTAGCTCACGAATGTTCTTGTGACTTCACAGTAATATTCTTTGCCGCTAGTGAGCCTCTTGCTTCATTGGGGCTCTCACTGTAATTAAGCTATTTTAATAATTTCTTTTCTCAACTGAGTTGATAATGTGCTTTTTAACTCAAGAGCAATTCCAAAGAAGACGTTTCGAGCGTTAGTCCTCTGTCAGCCGAGTCACGTTGTGAACTCAGTTTATGAAACCAAATCATCTGATTATGTAATCATTTGTGTCCGTGTACCGCCCTCGGGATCCCTGTTCCTTTTTTAGTGTTTGACATTGAATTTATCAAAGCATTGACTAATGAAATAGCGCCTTATCCAACTGGTATTTTAACTAAAAGAATAAATGAAATTGATTACAATCGTTTCTAATGGCCTACGTACACATTCACCACGACACACAACCGTTGAAAACCAGCTGCCTCTTTAGCAAAACTGTGCCTCGCCGGGCACTACACCGTCAGCATCAATAAATTGTTTTAGAACCACGGGTGCCAAGTGACGGTGTGGTCCCGCCTTTCCATATAATCTCTAATTTATCTTGATCACGTTTACATGATGGGTGGGGTAACCCGCCAAGGCGGGTTGCCCGGTCTGCCGGGTAGGGTAGCCCTGTCAGCCGGGGTGACAATTTGCTATTTAAACGTCTCAAGATGGGGTAACCCGCCTAGCCGGGGTCGCATTCAGGGCAAAAAGCTCAAAAGCTAAACACGTATGTTTTAAAACTTTGTACATTCCCCAGCCATCTCATGGCAGAAATCACAAGAAACCGCAACGGACACACAAGGAGTATAAAATGTTTACATTTCGGAATATTTAGCGTTGTAAATCGACCATATTTCGTTTCCCCAACAATTTCTCATGACGTATTAAGTCTACGATTCCTAACATAAGACCGTGTAACACAACACGTGACGCTTTCATTAATAAATACAAACATGTTTGAGAATAAATCTTTCGTCTTTCTCGAGATGTGAGCTTGGGAGGCCTGTGTTCAAATTCCCTAATTGCAAGTGCAACAGCAACCTCAAGAAACCTCACCCCAGCACGCCGGAGTTGTAAGATTGCATAGAAACGCATTTTATTTTTCAACCACGGCTAAGCGGGCTACCTCACCTACATGGGGTCCCCCACCTCCATGTAAACAGGCCCTTGTAAGAATTGTGAAACTGGCACCTGTGATAACCACCTCCTTTGAGTAGTAGGAACATAATCACATCACTTCTCAATATGTTGTTGGAGACGGTCATTTTCTCAAAGGAAGGGCCCCAGTCAATTGTCCTCTTTTCCATTAAGGGTACGTTAGCGGGAAAGTTTTCGTCATGAAACATGGATTTGTGCGTGAATAGATTGCCCTTAAGATTGTAAAAATTAACGTAAATTTGAGATATCCATAAAATAAAAAAAAAATGTAAAATAACCCCCGTAACTGTGTCACATACCGATAATGCACAGTGCCCTGTAAAATAATGCGTTAGTGCCTTTTATTTTTCTGATTTTGTCATATCGGCTACGATGTTTTCTAAATTAAACCCATTTTCTCACAGATGCCTATTTCAAAATGCAATAGTCTATACATTCTCTGGTCAATATGCTTTTTGTGTGGTATTGTTCTCCTGTAGCTAGACAGGAAGCGTTCTGGGGAGATTTACCACTAAGTTACACTTCCAAAAAGGCGCTTCCTGCTCCGAGTAAAAAGTGACCCAGAAGATTTCTTTTCAAAAGTATTCCGGCTCTCATACCAAACAATACTTTTATACTTAATGAGCCCACTGGCTGTAGAAACTCCTTCATCCTCTAATGTAGATGTTCTTTCATATGATATTACAGCAGGAAATGCTTGTTTGAAATAGTCAGGCATGCCCTCAGTATACTTAGTGAAGCATCTGTTTCCATATTTGAACGCTGACGACAATATGTCAAAGGAAAATGAAAAGGGTCCTCCCTTGGTGATCCAAAAAGTGGATTTCTGTATTCCTCTAAAAAGAGATGATAAAAGTGTTTCAAATTATTTTATAAATGGCTGATGTATAACTGAAATACACGAAAATTAGGGACGATTAAATATTTTATACTCATGATAATTCAAACTTAAGTCAAATACTATGTAACCTTTCATGTTAAGCTGTAAAAGATTAAAGTATCGCACGCGAATTTAGCTGTGGCCGAGCTTTGCAGTAGCCTTTACACCTCGCCTGATTCTGGAGGTAGATGCCAATTTCTCCCTTTTTATTAATGGAGAAACTTAACCGTCAATTCTCAGTTCAACTGGAAAAAAAGGGAAGCAAACACATGACACCCAGATAAATTAACATTGAAGGTTCGTCTTTCTTTTTGTTGAAAATCATTTTGTTGTCTGTGGTTTTGTTTCACTTACTTTGTTGTCCATAGGGCACGCGTGTCATATCGCACTGTAAGCGTGACACCTGGCACACTAGTAGGGACAAAGGCTTGAGTGCGCCACACAAAAGCTGCCATGCCGGTCTTTGTTTTGTCAATTAAATATGCGCATATCCATGAGATTGGCGTTATGCTTAGCATGCCGTGACATTGCACGCGTGCCTGTGTCATCGCCTTATTCCCAGTTTTCCCGTGGAGGGTCGCAAAAGTTCCCTTTTGATTATTGAAGTTTGCCGTCTGCATGCAACACTTCAATCATTTTTTTGCCGTCTGCATGCGACAATTCAATCAGGTTTTTACAAAGGCAGGCGATTAAACTCAACATACTATCTTTTCAAGTAGCGTGAAATTGTTCCCTTTCTCGTTTTCTTTTGGCAAAAATTGATTTTTTTGGAAAAATTGTCGCTACCTAATTAAATAACGCTACTTGAGTATTGGTCAAACAGAGTAAGGATTAGGAGACACGCTGTGCTCAATTTACGCCACATTACACTTGAAAAGTTGTAAATCGACCATATTTCGTTCCCCATACTATTCCTTATAAAGAGTGCAAATTCTCAACGGTTTCTCTCGCATTTTAATCCTAAGTCAAACATTGAATTAATCGTTTCCTTTTCCTTGAGACTTGAGTCCTCGAATAGAGCACCGCACCGAAAAGAACCAGTTGGTTACTCAATATTTGTCATGCAAGATACTGCTTCATCGAATTGCTCTCGCTTTAAACGCTGTCCTTTCGGTGACATAGTTTGTTTGGAGCTGAATTCTTTTGTAATCTTAAGGCTATGTAAACTGAGCACTGCGGGTCTCCTAATCCTTACCCTATTTGACCATTACTTAAGTAGCGTTATTTAACTTAACGCAACAGCGTCTCATGGGACTGACTTAAGTTGTTTAGATATGATAAGAATCCCGTCGATTATTTGCGGGTGATCCTCTTCGCATTTTTTTTTGTCAAAACGAGTAAGTAAATTATCAGGATCGATGCCAAACTGAAGAGTGCATGTGTCACCGCGATTATACCTTCAGAAGTACCATCGCCAGGGACGAATGATGTTCGAATCTACCTCTCTCTTTTTTAACTGCTACAGATGGATGTTTTAATTTTGGAAGCAGCTCATTCCATCTTTTCGAAAAAAGAGGTTTGACGCCTTGTCCTTTCGTAGTGGTTTAACCGAAAGTTCGATTTCTTTCGATCTTTCGATGTGGCGCACACGTACCGTATTTACTCATGTATAAGTCGACCCCCATTTTAAAGGTCAAAAATCGGATTTTTCATCATTTCTAGTCGAAGAAGTAAAATTCAGACAGATGGAAATTTCCCAAAAGTTAATCTCTTATTTCTGGGAATATATTGAAAATGAAATCTTGCATTTAACTAACCTTTATCTAAATGTTGAGTGTGAAAGTAGATTAAGTAAACTGAAGGAACACCGAATAGCTTCGAAGGATCGCGCGTAAAGAGCAAGATCGCGCGGGACTTAAGCATTTGCCAGGTTACTAAGCTACTGTAAGTTCAGCACTGTAAACAACAGCGAAGCTGTATGAAAAAATGTCTGCTCTACAGTCCGAAGACACAATATAAATCAGCTCCAGTAGCTTTGTGTGAAGCCACTCAAAATTTATTATTTGAAACTTTTTCGTGGACGAAGAATGCGCTGAAAAGTGACGAAACACGAACACAATTCGAACTGGTTTTATAAACTCGGTCTTCCTAACGGATTTCAGAAAATTGCTATGCTAATTTCTTGAATTGTTAGGGTCAGGTTTTTGTGTGTGACTCGTGAAGAAGTCGCGGGTGATTTTTTTGGACTGATCTTTTGGTCACAAAAGCTCGACTTATACACGAGTAAATACGGTATCCCTACCCTTTTTCGGTTGTGCCAAGAACAACGTTTTAAAAAAACGCGAACAAATTTTTCGATAGATACGCAACTACTTACCTACTTACATAACTTAATCTAACCTAAGAAACATGGACAACTAAATATATTTTTACTGCTAGTTACATAACGTTGCGTAATGAAAGGTGATCACACTAAATTCTTCGCTTGTTAAAACACGTGATGAACACTAGGTTCGGGTCCTATTTGCAATCAACACCACATCTTTGTTTTGTATTTCAAGTAACACAAAGTCCTTTCTTTTAAGTCTTGGTTTGCACTATATCTGTGCTTACCAGAGTTGCTCTTCCAAAAGATTTAGTTTCGGTGTTCATAAAACGCCCATGTTAAGTAAGGCTGAAGTCCAGTCTCTACTCGTACTCTATTCGGCACGCATTAAAACGCACATGTCAAATGAAATTGACTTCAACACTCGCACCGGGTGTCACTGGGTGCAAAACGCTGTCAATTCACTAGTCCGGACGCCCCAATCATCCCGAAATTCTACAGGTATGTGACCGAAGTCGCGCGTAATTGTGTTTACCATCTATTTAAAAACATTCAAAAGCCTACGATACTAAACATGAGTAGGAAAATACATACTAGAAAACGAAACTTTACAAATAAACTCACGATAAAAAGATAATAAAAATTAAAAAAAAAAAAAAAAAACAAAACAAAACAAAAAATATATATATATATTCATATGTAAATGTGGGGGCAGAGTCTACCTTGGCATTAAGTGCTCAATGCTGTGGTAGCAGAGCTGAGTATATATAAGTGAAAGAATCAAAGAGGACGCATCGATTCTCTTTTACTCTGAGTTTCGCGCCAAAGCGCTCGTCAGACAGAACTTTATTCAATGAGAACATACCTCCTTATATACAAAGTAGATAAGTAGCTAAGCTAAGAAGCGCTTTATTAAACAAAAGAACGCTCGCAAATTTCACAAGCCGCCAACAATAGCTTTATAGAATCTTTATTTCACACGTAGATCAGATCATTACACTGGTGAATTAATTAGCTACTTATCTAATTTGTATATAATGAGGTATGTTCTTCACTGAATAAAGTTCTGTCTAACGAGCGCTTAGGCGCGAAACTTAGAGTAACAGAGAATCGATGCGTCGTCTTTGATTCTTTCACTTATATATATCTATATATATATAGCTATATATAAAAATATTATGAGAGGGAAAAAGGGACGCAACTACATTTCCCGACAAGCCTGTTTCGTGAATCCCAGGAAACAGGCTTCACGAAACAGGCTCGTCGGGAAATGTAGTTGCGTCCCTTTTTCCCTCTCATAATATTTATTCTGCTCTGCTTCAACGTATTGAGCACTGTTCCACGCGAAAATCGACTTGCAGACTTCCTAGCTATATATATATATATATATATATATATATATATATATATATATATTATGAATATTTAACTTAACGGTGCTAGCTTTACAGGCAAAAATCGACGACGCTGCTTCTTAAAAAAAATTGATCCACAGGACTATATTTTATTCACAAAACGTGACAAATAACTCGACATAGTTATGTAACATCACGCAATGGTAAAAACATCAACCACAAGAACACGATGTAACTAATGAAGCGTAAAATATTCGCAGGTAATAAACTCGTAAACGAAATGCACACAAAATGAGAATAAGATCCGCGTTAACAATGCATCACAGGGGATGATGTCACCTTACGCTCGTGTTCCTCATTTCAGCGTCATGTACAAGGGAATGGAATTGAGGGCCGCCAATTCTAGCTTAAAGGTTTGCTGAGAGCCTTTGGATGAGCCGTTACTCGGATGTCGCAGAACCCCGACCGTGAGAGCTTTCAAATTATGGTTCAATTATTTACACTCAGGGTAATTGCTGATTGCTCCCTATGAAATTACATACCCATAAACCGTGAATGTCGCCATAGTAATACTTAGACGTTAAGGAGAATTAACACATATTTCTCTTTTAAAGTATTCTTGCTTAAACCCGAAAAGGAACTTAAAACATTTTAGCAACATCGAAGTTATCTAAATGCTGAAGCCACAATGACATACAGTGTGGCTTTTAGTTGTCTATGTTATTCTGATAATCTTTTTTCCAGTAATGTCAAAGTCCAAACTATTTCCTGTTCTATTTTTATAACAGGCGGTTTTGTTTTTCTCTTGATTGACTATAAATAGTATTACGTAGAAAAGGTTTACCAGGCCACGCTATTTGTACCCACAAAAATTATATCAGATATAGCTTTCGTGTGAAAATTAACGTTTTTCAGGCTTCCTTTTCCCATCCTCTCCTCCCAGTTTAAACAGGAACATGCCAACAGACATGTCATTGTTTACATCCTTTATTATTACATAACTGCGGTGAGAATATGCCTCAAGCATGATATAGACCACTGTGTCGAAAATTTAGTTATTGAATGGATGACCAGCTGACTCGTTTTGATGTAAAAATTAGCTGCTAAGGAACTGTTTGTGGGCTGCCTAATAACCTCAAATATCACGTAATATAAGATTTTCATCTAAAATTAATTCGCATTCATTTGAGATAAATCTGTAACTGCCGTGTTTGCATACACTATGACACTTTCGTAAATAATTCCTTCTGAATAAAGAGAAGCTTCTAAATATTCCATTGGAAAGAAAACAGAGGATGAACAATAAATATTATCTTGGTGTTACTTATATATCAG